GGAAGCACCTGTGCATGCCGCCTGCCTGGAAAGATCGATGGTCGTGGGAAGGGGAACGAAGACTTGCTGTGGCTGTCGCCCACTCAGCGGGCGGCGGGCCTATTAGGTAGCCTCAACCAAGGTTAGGGCTGTCTTAGCTGCTGGCCTACTCTAGGTATTCATTACACAGACCAAAGTGCCAACAGGGACATGCCAGCGTTCCATGCGGACCAGCCTTTTCCTTTCCTTCTCGGTGAATCATAGCAGCGACGGCTAGGGTGACAGTCGATATTTGCGTTTGTTTGCGTCGTATCCTAGGTGCGGGGACTCGTTTTCTCCGGTGCCGAGAAGGGACTTCAGCGAGAGGTTAATGCCTTTTGGGACAGGAGAGGCGAAGTGGCCAGCCATGTGAAGTAACACTGGACGCACGCAGCGTTTCGTTGGCTGCGCTGGAGGGGGGACGGGCAACAGCTCTGAGAGGTGACCTCCCCCCGGTAAGCAGCTCTTTTAGCGCTCGATACCCACACCTTTGCAAGCAAGCGGATGTGCGAACCGATGGGGAAGGGCAGATATTAGGCAGTTCGTGAGGTGGTGGTCTTCCTTACACGTACCCCGAAAGTCCGTCTATTACTTCTCTGTGATAGGCCCTCTCCGGGAGCCAAGCTTGTGATTGCGATACATTCATCAGGAGTCTGCCTGGGCTGCACTTTGCATATGCCACCCGGGACGCAGCTCTCCGACGACCGATGCATTCGCTGCCTCGTGTTCCCTCTGACCTGACCCGACCCTCGGGCATACCAAGGATCTGGTAGCAGTGGCATCAGAGCACAGGTCGGGAACTTGCGGGGGGCTGCGAAATGGGCTTTCATCCGCGGCCCTGGGGGTGGGGGGTGTGGGTTGTGTGATGCTGTCCTCAGAGCGAGGACCATGTTGCCTATCAGAGACGCCAGCATCTCCGCCGCCATGTAACCACGTCCTGATGGGTTATGCGGTTGGCTGTGGGCGGGTTCCCGAAAAGGGCAAGCCATGGTGATATTGCATAACCTGTTCGCATCGATTGGGGGCCGGCGGGTAGTCGTCTACGAAGTTGATGGCCAAGGAATCTTTAAGGTGGCGGAGGACGCCGTTGCTGACCGGTGCGTGGCCCACACGGAGGGCGCGAGGAGAGAGCAGGAGAGGGCAGGGTGTTAAGCAGCTGCCAGAAGGTGAGGAATAAGCAGGGCAGGTCGTAAGAGAACAGGCCTGGGAGGAGGGTCTTGGCTGGGTGGAAGAAGCCATTTCACATGCGTTTGCTGATACAAGTTGTCAAATCGACACGTGGTGAACGTGGCAAAACGGCCACTAATTCTCTCTTTTTTCCCAGGTTGATTCCTCTCAAGGCCATGGCGGGCAGGGATTCTACTCCCAGCGAAGTCAGAGAGGGATCGAGGTCCAAGCGATTGCTTTGAGGTTCATTTCGGAACTTGCCATTCATCTTATCCAAATCGTAGGATATACGCGGGACGGGAACCCCGAGAAAAATAGAGTCGTTGCCGGGAGGATAGGAGTTTCCCGATCACTTCACGACCGCATGTTATACAAGATAGCAAACATATATATGTGGTGGGGATAGAAGTTGCCTCGTATGATCGACACATCTCCCAACGTAACCAAGCTTCTCCAAATCCCACTTCTCCTTCCTCATACACGCTTTGGGCTCAAACTGCTCGCCCCCGTTCCGAAGCCCAGTCAGTAAGGAGCATCCATGAGCCTACACAGATCGCAAGTGCAGCCTCGGATCGTAACGAGGGCAGGCGCTCTAACTGAGACAGTTAGTTGCCATCCCTCCACTGCCAGAACACTCCGACATATCTTGAACATGGTTGAAACTACGAAGCAGGGCACATCATACATATTGTGAGTCAAAGCGCACCGTCTCTATTCAGTGAGGTACATAGGAACATTCGTAGGTAAAAACAGTTGCCGGTGGCAACCTTACATGATATCCCATCGTTCCAAATCGATAACTACCCACGACGCCAATAGCCTGTGCCCAACAGAAACCCCGTCGCAACTAGATCCAGAGAAAATATAAAAAAAATATAGTCCATTGAAAGGAAAGATATCGTGAGTCATGGTCGAGCTACACTAGCCGCCATGCTTCTTTGTCTGTATAAAAGGGTAGCAATCAAGGCAAGGGTAATAACAAGAATAAAACAAGTCTTAATCCAAGATCCCTTGCCTGTAGGCGATCCAAAATTCTTCGTAATTCAGCATAAATCAAAAGGGTAAAATGATATGAAATCGCTTATTTAGTTGCATGTTCATCCCCGAAAGGGCTTGTTGCCCGTTCTCGCGTTTGCGGCCTCATCACGTTGTCGCCTTCCAACTCAGCCTCTGCTACTGGGCGAAGGGAAGCGGTTGGCGTGTGGGGAGGGTCTGAGAAAGGGCCTTGGTCAGAGGTGACAGTGATGGAAGGAGCTGAAACGTTCGGCATCATCGTCATTGCACCGAGGGTGGCAGGCGTGTCCAACTGGGATACGCTGGTGGCCGCAGACTTGCTGGAGCTAGCATCAGACTTTGAGCCGATATCAACAGTCTTCAATCCGCCCCCAACCTTGACGACCTGAGCGCGGGCTTGCACAGTTGCGGTATTGAGGAAGGTTGAGCCGACACTAAAGGCACTGGCTGTGCTCTCGGGTCGGTTTCCAAATTTGCCGAAGTTGATGTGCGGTACAGGAGGCGGTGTAATATCTGGGGTTCCGTTGGCGCCCTTTACACTGACGATCGAAGGCTTCACCCGCATGCCGGTCTGACCAGGAGCCATAACTTGTGCCTGCTTGCCGTAGATGGTTGACGCGATGCTCGAACGGGGCGCATATGAAGCATGTGTCGCATAAGATGCGCGGTCAGAGTATCCAGAAAGGCCAGAGTAGGTCGAGTCTCGGAGGTCTCCTGGCATAAAGAAGTGCTGATCTTCGTTTGACGAGTCTCTGGTTCCACCAGTGTGTTGAGCTGGAATCGGCGGGACTGGAGGTACTAGGCTTCCTCCAGAGGATGGATTGGCCCGGTTTGTGACTCCTGGGATATAGGCGATTTGAATAATGTTGGAGGCTCGGGTGAGGACGGTGGAGGCAATTGAATGAACGGTATGTGTTGATGACCGGCGAGTTAGTCGGGATGCACCGTCCTTCTCCGAGTCTTGTGAAGGGTTCACTCCCACATCGTATGTCGACATCATCGAACTCTCGGCCCTTCTAGGTTTGATCAAGAATCTCCAGGCGAGATATGTTAGAAGAGCAATAAAGGCGACGCCACCCACAACACCACCGGCAATGGCGCCCGTATTGGGACCAGAGGAAGTTGTGGTAGTCGTCCCCGAGTCAACGCATACTGCTACACTAGCTGAGGAGCAATCAGTCGCAATTTGGTATTGGCATTTCTGGTTACTCTCGCATTTGGGACATTCGAGGTTGGTGCCGGTTTCGTATTTGTAGCATCCGGTATCCCCTCGGGGAAGCAACGCGACAACTAGATACCATGTTAGGATGAACGGGGAATGAATTATTCGACGAAGGACCTACTTTCGTGGTACTCCTCCAACGTCCTGGCATAGACGAAGGGCGAGTCAATCATCATGGCGGCGTGAGGCGTATTGCCGTTTTGAATAGGAATAGAAGTCGCGAGTGGCTGTCGATAGCTAGCTGGGCGTTGAACGAATGCCAATGAGAGACTATGTGTTGTTTATCCAGGTGTGGTAAGGTTGAAGGGATTCCCAACGATTGATGATCGGGATCGGCGGATCTGCTGGTGTTGGCAAGGCGGAACGAATATCAAAGTAAATGAGACTTGATTGCGAGAACGAGTGGATTCAGAGACGAGCTCGGACGATAAAATGGAAGCTTCTTAAACCATGAAGGATGGAGACATCATCGACAGTGCCCGGTATCAAGGAATACGAGCGCAGACGACGTCGGGCGGTTGATGCAGAAGGAGAGCGGTTGGGATCGTCTGCGAAGCTGGTGGAGATGGAGAAGGGCGAGTCGAGGTGTGAGAGGAGGCAACGGTGGCGAGGCACCAAAAATCGAGACTCGACCAACTTACACACGCACCACGCACGCACACGCAGGAAGACAGGAACAGACAGGCCCAATAAAGCTGGTGGTGGGCGGGAGAGAAAGGGTGCTCACAGTAGAGCGAAGGGGAGCCTGATCTCACAGCCGATGGAGCACAATAGGACCAGGGGATTTAGCCACTAAGCACCGTTCGGCTCTAGCGAAACAATCTCAACGGATGCCAAGCCCCATACAGTGCTCCAAGGCCATCCAACACGGCCTGCAAGCCAACGCTAGGCGACCGCTGAGGGGGCAGCATTGTAACAAGCCCCATTGTTCCAAGCCCCAGGGGCCACACAGGGCCTGCAGATGTGCGTGGCATTGACCCCCTGATGCAGGTTGGAGACGGTACACTAATACTCGCACTGCTTTTGATTCCACCCCTTTTCTTGCAGAAATCCTCCCACTGACGGGTGGAGCCCACCATGCCTACCTAGACAACATGAGCGGCCATCGTCGTCGTAGAGTTAGGTAGGTCGAGTGCACAGAGCCTCTGGCGGCGCAGCGTCCACGCTTTGACAGATTCCTTGGACAGACTCAGTTTCTGCATTGTGGTCGGAAGAGCCCTCTCATCCGTCGATCAGCAGCCCAGCATGGGTTAAATGGCGTATAAGCATGCATCCTCACCCTCCCACCCAAGTACCTACCTTTCATGGTAGGACCTTGCGGGGCGTAGCAGTTGCATTCTCAATGGTGTAGGGGGAGTTGCACTGTGATAATTTGGGCCTGCAGCGAATCACATTGCGACTGGTCACTTTTCCTCTGTTTTGCCGTTCAAGAGCGAAATTATCTTGGGTGGCGCTGCCTGTGGAACGTGTGAGTTTTCCCTCAATCCAGTCCCGTCCGACGCGGTTAGGTAAGCAATATTCATGCTTACCCCCAGGATGGGTTGGCCCCACCCCACTTCGCCCGCCCAAAACTGTTCTTAAGCCCACGTTGGAGTGGCCTCTGTACTCATGTCGGCGACGCGCTGTATCAGGCCATCTCGGAGCCAACCAGCGGTGGCATAAAGGACTTCCTTTTCAATATATCCCTTCATATTGCAATATGCAGCCGATGTTGTACCAGCACATTTAGGAGGTTTTGACAATCATAACCCCTAAAGGAAAACTCATCACCAACCTTTGGAGTGTTTATGGTTGCTTGGTTGAATCGGTACCCTTCCGGTGGGAGTTAGTTGACTCATTCTTCCAGAGGGAAATAAATAATTCGATCAGGAGGGTACTAATTCAATAATTCACCACCAAGCAATAGCAAGCATCGGATGCTGCTCCAAAGGTTGATATAGTTGTTCTTCAAGATGATGCTCGCAGCCGAGGTCATGTCAGGAATCTTGGTAACATCAGCACAAACCTACATGTTGTGAAACATACAGCATCTTGTCAAATCATCATCGGTGGATAACAAATACGATATTGAGGTTGTCACTAGACATATGATCGTCAAGTCTTTTCCAATTACAGATCAGACCAGGGCATAGGCTAACGAAGCCCGAGGGAAAAGTCAAGGAAGACCCGTAGAATTCGCTGTCCCCGATGTGACGATGCAATTGTGACATGCGATGGATGGGAATGTGTACTCGTGTATAGTTTTTCTGCTTGGGTTGATGGTGCGCCTCTTCCCTAATATACATTTCATACTATCTCGGGCTGCTCCCGACAGAACAAAGACAAACAAGTGGCTGAGCATGGCATAGGGCAGAGAATTGAAGATGAGGCAAATGCACAGTCCTCAAATTAAAACGCTGGCTGACCGTGGAACTTAGCTCGCGAAAAGGAGGCGCAGGCAAGGAAATGAGTTACGAGAAGTACCTCAGTAGTGCTGCGCTGGGGGCTGGACTCTTGCCTGTAGTGGCTATTCTAGTCACTGGCGCCTCCGCTCACGAAACACAAGCCGTAACTCTCCAGATCCGACTGACATGGTTGCTATTTTTGAACCACTAGCCCCTCCCAGTGCCCAGTCAAGATTGGTGGTGCTACGTAGTATCAATACCTGGTGTGGATCGCGCAGTCTGACAGTCAGCACATGGATGGAGTACATACATCTTGGAGAGGGGCCTGGGCTGCCAGCTGGGTAAATCGGCCCAGTTATTTAGCAGCAGCACACCGCGACATTGGACTGCACCTCTACGTGGTGGTGCATCTCGTAACGTAGATCGTCATCGATACTTCGATTCCCGGCGAGATCAGCGTATGAAAATATGTATCTGTTATCCCTTGATTTCCCAGCCAACGAGAGGGCCCAAACCTGTGCAGGCACGACATCTCAAGTCACTCGAAGAGCCTGGTTGTGAATGCTTCGCGAATGGTTCCGTCAGCTTGCTGTGGGACTTGCTTGCTCTGACATTCGACCCAGCTAATTTTTATGCCCATTTCCAACAGTCGGTAAGGCGCCAGGCCATGTCCTCTTGCAATTGCGAATCGGGTGGGCCAAGCGTACGTAGGTACGATAGAGGCCATTCGTCATGTGTGTCGTTATCGCTGCCACTTCTTTGCCTGCCAGTCCTCGCCGGCTCTTGGGCTTGCGAGGCGGCACACTGCGTAAACTCTGCCGCCAGCATGAATTCGAGATGGCTCCGACCTACATCCACGGACGGGGCAAGGCAGAATGGGGTTGGTATGCACCGTAGGGTGGCCAATTGCCTTCGCAGGCGGTCGAGATCAAGAGAGAGCTATTGCTGATCTCCCCCGCTTGGGGCGAAGGGAGGAAAAGAGGCTGGAGGCTGTCTACCACTAGTTGCTGTGCGAGTGGCTCAGCTGGTGAGCTGGAGGTCGGCCTAGGGACTGCCTGCATACCAGGTTCTACGCGGTGAGCATTGTCAGCTTAATACATTGGTACATCACACATGCCGAGCACACCAATCATCTAGGGGGCTCAGCTGCAAGTTAGCGTGGGTGGCCGTCGGGTGGCCCCAGCAGCCCAGTCCCCTATTCCTTGAATCGCAGACCCCGTTCTGCTGAAACGGAGCTGTTGCTAAATTTCAGGCCCTCAAAAGTAAATCATCCTCCCATCCATCCTTTTTCGTGCTTCCACCATCGATTCTGGATCTCCAGATCTGCTGCCATTCCCCTTCTTCCACGACATCTTCACGTCGCCGCTAAGTTGAGGCTGGAGCCTCGGTGCACGCGTTGCTTTGTCTTTGTTTCAGCTTTTCGGGGCTCTCCACACAGCACCCTCCCACTCGCTCACTCCTTTTTTTTCCTCCCAACCACGATAGGAGCAGATTGTATTCCACATCCTAATACCCAGTTGACGACACACAGCAAATACAGCACGCCGAACGGGACACATCACCAATCATGGCGTACAATGGCCAGGGCCGCGGCCATGAATACGGAGGACACCCAATGCAGGATCTCCCAGCTGGCAGCAGCGTGAGTAGCGGCGAAATGAAGCTATCCATCCACGATTCGCAGCTTGCCCTAACCTTCTCTGCCCACAGTACCATCTTCCCCAGCAAGAACATGACGAAGAGGCCGGCCGCCATCTTCTGAATGACCCTCGCATGGGAGGGGGTTACGAGCACGATAGACTTGGCGCCACTACCCCTCCAGATCGTCCAGTCTCTGCTTACAGTCTCACCGAGTCGTATGCTCCTGGTGCTTCGAACGCACCTCCTGGCACAACCGGCGGCTTCCCTGACCCAGGCTACGGTCAATACGCAAATGCCGGCCACGACATTCATCGTCCCGCCTCCACATTCGAGGACGAGGAGGACAACTGGCTGCAGCGTCAACAACAGCAACAGCTCAGTTCTGGCTCGCGTAGCGGTGGCTTAAAGCGTTTCAACACTCGTAAGATTAAGCTTGTGCAGGGCTCCGTTCTGAGCATCGACTATCCTGTCCCCAGTGCCATCAAAAATGCGGCGCAACCACGGTACCGCGATGGAGAGGCTGGCTCTGAGGAATTCTCCAAGATGCGGTATACCGCTGCCACTTGTGACCCCAACGAGTTCACACTCAAGAATGGTTACGATTTGCGTACTCGCATGTACAACAGACACACTGAGCTTCTGATTGCCATCACATACTACAACGAAGATAAGGTCTTGCTCGCAAGAACTCTTCACAGTGTGATGCAGAACATCCGCGACATTGTGAACCTCAAGAAGTCCACTTTCTGGAACAAGGGTGGACCTGCTTGGCAGAAGATTGTTGTCTGTCTTGTCTTCGACGGTATCGAGAAGGCTGATAAGAATACTCTTGATGTTCTGGCTACTGTTGGTATCTACCAGGATGGTGTTGTTAAGAAGGATGTCGACGGCAAGGAGACCGTCGCTCACATTTTTGAGTATACTACCCAGCTGTCCGTCACACCCAGCCAGCAGCTCATTCGACCTGTCGATGATGGTCCCCAGACACTCCCCCCCGTCCAGATGATCTTCTGCTTGAAGCAGAAGAACACTAAGAAGATCAACTCTCACCGTTGGCTCTTCAATGCCTTCGGCCGAATGCTGAACCCTGAAGTGTGTATTCTTCTTGATGCTGGTACCAAGCCCAGCCCTCGCTCTCTTCTGGCTCTGTGGGAAGGTTTCTATAACGACAAGGATCTTGGAGGTGCTTGCGGTGAAATTCACGCCATGTTGGGCAAGGGTGGCAAGAAGCTCTTCAACCCTCTTGTCGCTGTCCAGAACTTTGAGTACAAAATTTCCAACATTTTGGATAAGCCCCTCGAGAGTTCTTTTGGATACGTCAGTGTGTTGCCTGGTGCTTTCTCGGCCTACCGTTTCAGAGCTATTATGGGCCGCCCGCTGGAACAATACTTCCACGGTGATCATACCCTTTCTGCCCAACTTGGTAAGAAGGGTATTGATGGCATGAACATCTTCAAGAAGAACATGTTCTTGGCCGAAGATCGTATTCTGTGTTTCGAGCTTGTGGCAAAGGCCGGCCAGAAATGGCACCTGTCTTATATCAAGGCTGCTAAGGGTGAAACCGATGTGCCTGAAGGTGCTGCTGAGTTCATCAGTCAACGTCGAAGATGGTTGAACGGTTCGTTTGCGGCTACCCTCTACGCCTTGATGCACTTCGGCCGAATGTACAAGAGTGGCCACAACATTATTCGTATGATTTTCCTCCACATTCAGCTCATCTACCAAATCCTCAACGTTATCTTCACCTGGTTTTCTCTCGGATCTTACTATCTCACAACAGTTGTCATCATGAACCTAGTCGGTGTTCCTGATATCGTCACGGGTGCTCACGCCTGGCCCTTCGGCGACACTGCTACTCCAATTGTGAATACGATCCTTCAGTATCTCTATGTGGCGTTTGTGGTTCTGCAGTTCATTCTGGCTCTGGGCAACCGTCCCAAGGGTTCCAAGTTCACATACATCGCCTCATTCATGATCTTCGCCATGGTTCAGCTCTACATCATCTGCTTGTCAGTCTATCTCGTTGTCCGTGCCTTTGACAAGAAGTCATTGTCGCAGCAAGTCAGCTTCGCCTCTGGTGACGACTTTGTTCGCAGTTTCTTCACCGGAGCTGACGCTGGTGGTGTTATCGTCATTGCCCTTGTCACCATTTACGGTCTCAACTTCTTGGCCTCGTTCATGTACCTTGACCCCTGGCACATGTTCCACTCATGGCCCCAGTACATGCTTCTCATGTCCACCTACATCAATATTCTCATGGTTTACGCTTTCAACAACTGGCACGATGTTTCTTGGGGTACCAAGGGTTCCGACAAGACCGAGGCTTTGCCATCAGCCAACATCAAGAAGGGAGACAAGAACGAGACAGTTGTCGAAGAAATTGAAAAGGAGCAAGAGGATATTGACAGTCAGTTCGAGCAAACTGTCCGTCGTGCCCTTGCTCCGTTCAAGGAACAGGAAGAGATTGAGAAGGCCGATCCTGAGGATGGTTACAAGTCTTTCCGTACTGGCCTGGTTGTGACCTGGTTGTTCATGAACATTCTCCTCATTGTCGCTCTCCAGGCTGACTCCTTTAATAACTTTGGTGTTGCTGTAAGTTTAACCTTTGCACTCGGCATCACTATTTCCACTAACATCTTTTTCACAGGGCGATTCGCAATTCCGTACCATGCGCTTCTTCCAGCTTTTGCTTTACGCCACTGCCATCCTTTCATTGGTCCGTTTCTTCGGTTTCCTCTGGTTCTTGGGTAAGACAGGTCTCATGTGCTGCTTCGCCAGAAGGTAAAGGCCGTTTTTGGTTTTAGCGAATTCCCTGGCAGCGGCCGGGTTCATGGCGGACGTGATGGATATAAAGAACAGGATATCTCATATAGTGGTGTTTCTTTTCGTCTTTCATTGATATTTATGTAACATTCCTTGTTGAAGTATTGAATGTAAGGTATTTAAAAAGATTGGGGAGGATCGAGCTCGTCGAAAGCATATCATGAAAAGGCAATTTGGGTGCTTCACCAAAGCATTAAATCTATATACTCAAGTATTAACATAAAATTTACTCATGAGCGGTTAAATAATCATGCATGACTTGGAATATTGTGAATTGTAACGTTGGTTGGAGAAAATAATTGCACCTCCAGCGACTGATTAAGGCGGATAAATGTCGGTGTTAGGGGCTCGTTATCTTATCTCTAGCCGCTGTAGCCTTACCAGGCTTCCTCCAATATATGAGGCAATCGTGTGATGACTGCATTTATCTACCCGTCATCAACCCATAAGTACTCTTGTTCACGGTAGCTGAAGGTGTACATCGCGCTGCGCAACTTTTCTTGACATCGTTTTTGCTGTTTTGTACTTATACTGGCCTTCGAACCAACTCGAATCTTGTCTCCCCTTGACCCAATACAGCCCAACCAAACACATTTAGCCCCTCGTGGCACCCCGCTGCCACCATGTTGAAAATATGGTCGATGGTACTTGAGCCCCCTCGGATCGTGGGAAATGTGCGGTTTGCTGACGTGCACCGATAGAAAAAAGAGCAAAAGGAGGCCGAGAATGCTGAGGGCCAGGCAGCCGGCGGGAAAAAGAAGAAGGTCACAGCAGCCCAGCTGCGAGTACAGAAGGGTAAGCATTGCCTATCGTGTGACACCCAAGGGCGAATATACGGCCTCTCGACCGATGCTGACTCTGTTTTGCTCGTCTCCTCAGATCTCTCGGAGCTTTCTCTCGGCTCGACGATGTCTACTGACTTTCCCGAACCCGACGACATCCTCAACTTCGTGCTGACCATCGAGCCCGACGAGGGAATGTACCGCCAGGCCAAATTCACATTCGATTTCAACATCAACCAGAACTTCCCCCACGATCCGCCCAAGGTCCGCTGCCGAGAAAAGATCTACCACCCCAACATCGACGTGGAGGGCAAGGTCTGCCTGAACATCCTGCGAGAGGACTGGAAGCCCGTGCTGAACTTGAATGCCGTCATCGTGGGCTTACAAGTATGCCGCCCCTCTTCTTTATATCTCCCCGCCAGTACATTCCAGACGGGGTGTCCGTTACATTCCGTGCTAACATCAGGCGTGCAGTTTTTATTCCTGGAGCCGAACGCGTCCGACCCGCTGAACAAGGAGGCTGCCGAGGATCTGAGGAATAACCGAGAAGGCTTCAAGCGCAACGTGCGAACGGCAATGGGCGGCGGTACCGTTAAGGGCGAATCCTACGACCGCGTACTGAAGTAAAGCACCCAGGCAAAAAAAAAACAGCCTTGACTGAACTGGCAAGATGTCATTCGCCAGGCACGAGGACGGGCCCGAGAGAATCAAGGATTGTAAAAAGTTCCCAGGCGGGCGCTCGGCGCGAGGGCAATGACAAACGATTTCACGAAATTCATACACCATAGAGGGGCGGGAGAGCATTTTTCTCCGGCGTCTAGTCTTTTTTTCTTCTTTATACTTACATACCTTCGGCGGTCTTTTCACCTACAGCAAGAGGGGGCGAGAGAGTAGCTAGAATAGTTTGATATATTTGCAACAGACTACCATCTTGGGCCGATTGGGCTGCAAAATCGGAGACGTATATCTCAGAGCTGTTTGCCGGGACCGACTGTCCGGTGTTCAAGGGCTATGTAATGCATGATCTAGGTGCATGGTAGGAACCCATTCACGCGTTGGTAGTTTGTAAGGTGCATCCGGTTGTATGATGTTTAACCCATGTTGGAGTCTGTCATGAATAACATTGCTGTTGATACTCAGAATATTTCACTCATGATCGCCATCGATCCTCTCGAAAAGGTTGTGCCCAACGAGCAGATGAAATATCTCCTATCTCGGATTCACTTGGACATAATTTCAACCATTTCAAAGAGATCTCGAGATTTACAAAGCAAACTTGCAACATTAATCAGCATTGGCAGCGTACATGTAGATGAACAGTACGCTATAGGGTAGCTTTCGCAAAAGGCGGAAGTCGGGATGCCTTTGGCACGGCAATTACGTGCAACCGGGTTCAGGTCGATCATCAAAATACATGGGTCAAAGGGCTGCTAACCTGCCTCGCCTGCATGATGTTTCAGCGTTATGGCGGTCGACATTGTCAATGGCACTCTTGATATCCACGGTTTTCCAAATTCGAGTGCAGACGACTCGTCTTATTCTTGGAGCTGGCCGGCCAGTGTAAGCCATTACGGTATCTAGCCCCGCGGCCACTGAGTGGCGGTGTTGACGGCGCTGGAATGACCAACTCGCCGCTGCCGAGGAACCCTGATGGCGGGCTGCAGGGTGCCCGTACAGTAATGCGTGCTCGCCGTGTGGTGCCCCCCATATTGAGGAAGCCGTGGTCTGCAGGTGGCCTGTGCTTCCAATTGGAGTCACAGTGGGCTGGGCTCTGGCTCTCCGTGGACCGGAGAGCAGGCTAAGGTACCCTACGGTGGTTCCCTAAGCTTAAGATGCAGGTTGTGCATATTGCAGCCAAACGAAATCAACCGGTGAGGGTGCTTCCTGTCCAGCTGTACTGCGTGTATTCAGGGGCATGGAAGAGCGTTGAAGAGCATCAAACTGCCGTAGAGACTGGCTTTTGTGGCTTCACTTATTTGAGTTTCTGGTCGCATCCAAACTCTGTTTTATTCGTTGGCCGCTACCCCCCCAAATCGTACCGCGAGGTCACTTCCCCGCAGTCGGTGCTTGGGTGTAGGAAGGCTACCTATGATTTGATCAGAGTCCTACCCTCTGTGTGGCAGACGGTAGAAACATCTGGCCGTCTCTCGCATGAGTTATCCGCGCTTTTCATGCACCTAAAATGAAGGGCCCTGGGAAGCAAGAGTCACATCGACGAGTGGTGCCAGCAGCTGGCCGCTGGCACTCCGCATTTCGGGGTTCGAGGCAGTTGCTTACGCCTCCTGCGCTTGACACCGTAGGTGCGGCCGTTGTCGGAGCCCAAAGTAGGTGTGAAGCATGGAAAAATCAGGGCCCCGGCACCGGCCACTGGTCTAGCTTTCACACCACCGATTCTTCATCCGCTAAATCTAAATATCTTCTCTCCAAGTTTTTTCCCTTTTGCGCCTTCAATTCTTCATCATCACCCTCTCCACATCCTCCACAATGGCCTCCCGCAGCTTCTCCAAGTCTATGCGCTCGCCGCTGGCCCGCCAGCTGGCTGCTCCTCGCGTCCAGCAGCGCACCTTCATCGCTGCCCGCAACCTCATCCGCGCTGGCGCTGCCCGCGCTGCCCCCGTTACCGCCCCCGCCCAGCAGCAGGTCCGCGGAGTCAAGACCATTGACTTTGCCGGCGTCAAGGAGGATGTCTACGGTATGCTGAAATGCAATTGACAAGAACTACGAGCAATTGACTAACTGCCGGGTGTCTTATATAGAGCGAGCCGACTGGCCCCAGGAGAAGCTCTTGGTGAGTCAATTTGGCCTGTATCAAGTATTTTGAGCTTTGCTAACAGTCATACCCCTCCAGGATTACTTCAAGAATGACACCCTTGCCCTCATCGGCTACGGTTCCCAGGGTCACGGCCAGGGCCTGAACCTCCGTGACAACGGCCTCAACGTCATCATCGGTGTGCGAAAGAACGGCAAGTCCTGGAAGGACGCCGAGCAGGATGGCTGGGTCGCCGGAAAGAACCTCTTCGATGTCGATGAGGCCATCTCCCGCGGTACCATCATCATGAACCTCCTCTCCGATGCCGCCCAGTCTGAGACTTGGCCCGCTATCAAGCCCCAGCTCGTCGAGGGCAAGGTACGTAACCCCCCCAACAAGCAATTGCTCGCCCAATACAAGCCCAAAGCTGACCAAGGCGAAACTAGACCCTCTACTTCTCCCACGGTTTCTCCCCCGTGTTCAAGAAGGACACCAAGGTCGATGTTCCCTCCAACATTGACGTTATCCTGTGCGCCCCCAAGGGCTCTGGCCGCACTGTCCGATCTCTCTTCCGTGAGGGCCGTGGTATCAACTCCTCCTTCGCCGTCTACCAGGACGTCACTGGCCAGGCCAAGGAGAAGGCTATTGCCCTTGGTGTTGCCATCGGCTCCGGCTACCTCTACGAGACCACCTTCGAGAAGGAGGTCTACTCCGACCTCTACGGTGAGCGTGGCTGCCTCATGGGTGGTATCCACGGTATGTTCCTCGCCCAGTACGAGGTTCTCCGTGAGCAGGGCCACAGCCCCAGCGAGGCCTTCAACGAGACCGTCGAGGAGGCCACCCAGAGCTTGTACCCCCTCATTGGTGCCAACGGCATGGACTGGATGTTCGACGCCTGCTCCACCACCGCCCGCCGTGGTGCCATTGACTGGACCCCCCGCTTCAAGGATGCCCTGAAGCCCGTCTTCAACGACCTCTACGCCTCCGTCAAGGACGGTTCCGAGACCCGCCGCTCTCTCCAGTACAACAGCCAGCCCGACTACCGTGAGAAGTACGAGGCTGAGCTGGATGAGATCCGCAACCTGGAGATCTGGAAGGCCGGAAAGGCTGTCCGGTAAGTTGATATTCCACCTTGCCAGACTGTAATGATTCATGCTAACATCTCATCTCACAGCTCTCTCCGACCCGAGAACCAAAAATAAGCGACGCGCGCGAGGGGTTGGTTTTGTTGTATAGTGAGAGGGTCCTCTGAAGCGTTTATACCGACGGGTAGGATTCATGTGCAAAAAAGGGTTTGAATGAGAATAAAAAATATGATGAAAAATGATCAAACATATAAGAACGGAAGCTTTTGCTTTACAAATGTGAATCCCATGGGCATGGGTGTATCTTTTTCCCACGATCGCTTCTTAAGACTAACTTGTGCTTCATCGGGCCTCTCGCCGTCCACTCATTGAGGCTACCGTGTCGCGCACAAATTCTTATCCGGACATGAAGCCCGTCTGAGTCAGTCGCATGGAGATCCAACAGCTCGGGTAGCGGTCTCGGCTCCTGCGTGGAGCACCGGCGGGTCCGGCGATGAGATTCCATCTCATTCCTTCCGGTATCGTTGCCTAATACGCTGCCTGCCTTTTATAGACCCGGGAGACAGATGGTGCAGTAGCATCTACTGCGACTTGTAATTTATTGAAATTTTTTTTTGAAGCATAGAGCAATATACTTTCTATTAGAAAACATGGCTGATCTGTCGACGACGCTCCCCCTCACCCGTGACTCGGTGGTGGCAGCCCACGAGGTCGTCAAACCCCACATCCACAAGACGCCCGTGCTCACCAACCGGACGTTGACGGAGCTGGCATCGACGCCGCGTGACCTGCGAGGGACGCAGTGGGAGGGGCGCGAGCCCGCGAGGCCCGTCCTGAGGCTCTGGTTCAAGTGCGAGAACCTGCAGCGGATCGGCGCGTTCAAGGCCCGCGGCGCCTTCCACGCCATTGAGCGGCTCAAGCTGGAGCCGGGATGGCTCGAGGGTGGTGGCAAGGAGAAGGGTGTTGTCACTCATAGCTCTGGTAAGAGTTTCTGTCCCCTTTCACTCATAGTTTCCGTCGCTTTTCACGATCTTTGATAATTGCTTTCGGAGGAAGCCCAACGAATGAGCCCTTGCCGGTCCGCTAACACAATACGCAGGAAACCACGCCCAGGCTCTCGCTCTGGCGGCCAAGGAGAGCGGCATCAAGGCCCACATCGTGATGCCCGAGATCTCCAACCCGCTCAAGATTGCTGCGACGAGGGGCTACGGGGCCAACGTCATCTTCAGCGGGAGCACCAGCGTGGAGCGTGAGGCCATGGCGGACAAGGTCATTGCTGAGACTGGGGCGCGGCTGGTGCCGCCGTACGACCATCCCGACATCATGCTCGGCCAGGGGACCTTGGGCCTGGAGCTGCAGCAGCAGGCGCGGGACCTGATTGCCGACGAGGCCCAGCACAGCTTCCGCGCCCCGAAGACGATATCTTCTGGGAGCGGTCGGGAGAACAAGGGGCTGGATGCCATTATTACTCCCTGCGGTGGAGGGGGCATGCTCTCCGGGGTGGCGTTGAGCTGCGAGGGCACCGGCATCAAGGTCTTTGGCGCCGAGCCGTCGTTCCAGGGCGCGGATGATGGGAAGCGAGGGTACGAGTCCGGCACCAGGGTCACGGCGGTGTCGAGCCTGACCATAGCTGATGGCCTGCGCACGCCTGTGGGGGCTCACCCGTGGAAGGTCATCTACGAGCGCCGGCTTGTAAGTGGTTTCTACAGCGTGACGGATGATGAGATCAAGGCGGCGATGAAGCTGGTCTTTGAGAGGTTCAAGCTTGTCGTGGAGCCGAGTGCATGTGTCGGATTGGCGGTGGCCCTCTTTGATGAGGATTTCAGGTCCATGGTAGAGCGAGAGGGCGGCGAGGCTGGCTGGGATCTTGGTATCGTCTTCAGTGGTGGGAATGTTGGTCTTGGTGCGGTTGGGAAACTATTTGAAGCCTGAACTTTTTGCATTAGACCATTGGAACAGCACGTAAATATATTGCTTACGAGAAGAAGTTGACATAAAAAAAGATTTATGAATGATAGCAACGTTTACTTTCTGGCATCGAGGTTCAAAAAGCAAAAGGAAACTCCCCCGGACAGGATTGAACTGTCGATCTTCCGATTACGTTACTTGGTAACAGTCGGACGCCTTAGCCAGCTGGGCCACAGGGGATGTGGTTCTTCAGGGACAATTCCCCAAGCTGGATGTGACGTCCGGGTTGAGTATTAGAATACATATACCCGGCCAGAAATTACAAGCAATCCAAATTGACTCACTCAAACGGTTCCTCAATTGACTGTCCGGATTTCATCGCCGACCGCGGGGCAGCTGGTGCCCCACCTTACCGAGCTTCGAGGTTCTCCCACTCACATCAACTGAGACCGAAAAGCTCATATTCACATGCACTGAGCTGCTCAGAGCTCTTCATCTATTCTTCTGCGCTGCCCTACCCGGGCTGTGGTTCTACACCGTGTTCTCTTTTCTTGTCATCTGAAAAGCCGTCTGTTTGTAAAACAATGTCTCTCACCAACGCCTCCCCAGAGGCTGCGGCCAGCTCTGCAAAGACTGCGTCCTTCACCTTGGCCACACTCCCTGCCTCGGCCCGTAACGCTGCTCTCGAGACTATCCATGCTGCCCTGTCAGAGGCCAAGGACGATATTCTAGCCGCCAATGCCAAGGATCTCGAGGCGGCACGCAAGGCTGCCGCCGATGGCTCGCTGAGCCAGGCTCTCGTGTCTCGTCTGGACCTTGGCAAGAAGGGTAAATGGGAGGACATGCTCAAGGGGATTCTCGATGTGAGGGGACTGGACGATCCCAGTAAGTTTCAGACCTAAAGGAATCCGCATGTCTTTCACTGTGCATGAATATTGACAACAGCCGTAGTCGGACAAGTGCAGATGCGATCCCAGCTGGCGGATGGTCTTACAATGGAGCGTGTATCATGCCCCATTGGAGTTTTGCTCATCATCTTCGAGGCCCGCCCCGAGGTCATCGCCAACATCGCCAGTCTTGCCATCAAGTCAGGAAACTCCGCCATTCTCAAAGGCGGCAAGGAGTCAACCGAGTCCTTCGTGGCCATATCAAAGGTCATCTCCGCAGCCCTCGAGAAGACCGAGGTCCCGAATGGCGCCATCCAGCTCGTCACTACCCGAGACGCCATCTCCCAGCTGCTCGACCAGGACCGCTACATCGACCTCGTCATCCCCAGAGGCGGCAACGAGCTCGTCCGCTACATCAAGGGGGCAACCAAAATCCCGGTGCTCGGCCACGCCGACGGGATCTGCAGCATCTACCTCACCGCAAGCGCCGACAAGGACAAGGCCATCACCGGCGTCGTCGACTCCAAGACGAGCTACCCGGCCGCCTGCAACAGCGTCGAGACGCTCCTCGTCCAGGACGCGGCGCTCCCCACCGTCCTCCCCGGCATCGCCTCGGCGCTCTCCGAGAAGGGCGTCTCTCTGCGCTGCGACCCTGCCAGCAAGGCGGCCCTCGCGTCTCTTTCTCTCCCCAACATCCAGGACGCCGTTCCCGAGGACTACGACACGGAGCACCTGTCGCTCACCCTCTCCGTCAAGACCGTTCCCTCGATAGACGAGGCCATCTCCCACATCAACGCCCACGGCTCTCACCACACCGACGCCATCTTCACCTCCGACAAGGCAGAGGCGGAGCGCTTCATGAACGAAGTCGACTCTGCCGGTGTCTACTGGAACGCGTCGACCCGCCTGGCCGACGGCATGAGGTATGGGTTTGGGACCGAGGTCGGAATCAGCACGAACAAGATCCATTCTCGAGGTCCCGTGGGGCTCGAGGGCCTCACCATTTACAAGTACAAGATCAGGGGAGACTACCAGCCCACAACAGGATACGGTGAGGGCGAAGGGAAGATTCCCTGGACACACGCCAGATTACCTCTTTAAATGGCTAGATAAAAAAAATGAATGAATGAATCAGGATTAAGGATTTCAACAAAATGAAATGATTTAGGTGGGCATGAAAGAGTGGAATGAATGTCCTTGTCTGGCCTATCAATGGCATGACCAAAAGTCATATTGTATCATATTCTTTGCTTCATCTTGATGTGCTAGCGGAACCCCCAAATAATGCCACACAACTTCAACAGTGAGAAATGTAAACCCAAAACAGAAAGCAGCCATTTAAGCTAGATAGCGAATACCAAACCACCAGCGCCTTCAGTTACTCCCTTGAATAATTTTCATGGCCTTTTCGTTAAGCGTTGATGTCATACTTCTTGATAAGCTCTGCTAGTCTGTTACCCTCAGCCTTGAAATCCAGAGGAATGGCTTCAGAGGCTTGGTGACGGATCCTGCGTTCACGCTTGTTAGTAAACCGTTGGTCACTCTGTAGGGATTACTACGTTTGAGAGATACTGACTTGGGAACATCTTGGTAAGTATCCTTCTTTGCTCGGCACTTGAAGGTAAACTTCTTGTAGAGGACCTCTTGGAAAACTGCGGTGAATGCTTCGCCGTCATTATCCCTGAGCTCCGTAAGTTCGTTCGCGCTCATTCCCAAGACCACCTTCCCAACTTCGTCGAACACGCTGATCCATTGCTGACCAGAGTGATCAGCGACGCTGAGTGACATGATGTAGCGATATTCTGGTTTATCGAAAGACTTCTGGTCCATCTCGCAGAACCAAGTGCCATCTGTGTTCTCGACAATCTTCTTTCTGCAGTTAGGGCACGAGGCGTAAGCGAATGTCTCCTGCTTGCAGAAGAGAATAGAGGCTTTAAGTGAATAGTAAACAGGTGCGCCGTCATCTGACAGCATGTTGACATCCAGAGCATTCACTTCGGCAACTGTCTTGACTGGGTTTGATCGGCCTGAGGCGTTCCCCATGCCCGCATTTCGGTGGCTTTGGAAGTTACCGCCCCTGCCTGCTGATTCATACCAGCCTTGCAGCCTATGAGCGTCAGGGATGTCGGGATGAACAGACATGGTACCGGACGATAGGAGACTGAGACTCTTTCCGTCAAAGTCGGAGACCTTGGCACCCTTGAAAGCAACGACTGACTCAGGCTGGATTTCAAAATTCTCCGCAGTCTTGCCCCAGACTGTGAGTCTGACAGAAAATCCAGTCTCGTCAACCAGAGTAAGATCGCGCTTCGAGAACGTCCTGCCATCCTTGGCATTAATTGGAGCAGCATCGCCGACCTCTTTCAGAACGCCGATGATATCCACAGTGTTGTCCTTTTCAACGCTCTGCAGTTGCTCAATTGTGCAGAAGTTGAATTTGACCTGAGGCACGCTCGACTGATCTTCGGCCTTGACGATGGTTGTTTCCTGAGTGAAGGTGAGCTCGAACTCATGAGGCAGGTTGTTGAACTGCTTCTTGGCAGTGTTCGTCTTGCAAGGGCTCGAGATGTAGTAGACAGAGCCTTCCTGTAGTGTGTCGTAAAATTGATCCACCTGGTCGTTGAAACCAGTAGCCTTGATCTCGCCAGTCTCGTCAAGCAGGTGGACGCTGAAGAGCTTTCCCTCAGAATTGGCCTTGTGCCACCTCTTGATCTCCGACTTGAAGGTAACTCTTGCCCGGATCTTCCACTTATTGAGAACGAATGAAAGACTCTCGATGGGATAGATGGGATCACCCGGGGTTGCGGCAGGACGGGTTGGCATCATCTGTTTGGGCTGTGTTGTGGGTTCTTCCTTGACACCATAGAAATCATTGCCCTTGATCGTCGTCTCTGCTGCGCTCGTCGTGGTCCTTACTTGTTCAATGCTGACGGGAGCTCCAACCTTGCCCTCTGCGATACCCATGGATTCAACCACTTCCATACTGAGGATGATCATGATACTAACCCAGTTAAATTAGCACGCTCGTCTTGGTTCGACCACGATAGTAGTCAACTGCATAAAAACGTACAGCTTTTCTTTCAGATTCTGCGTAGTATACTCCTTGATTCGGGCGAAACTGCGGACTTGGAGCTGTCCCTCGTGGATGACGTGATTTGACTGGGTGGCAAGAATGGCCTGAACGAAGTGGCGGCCGTCACTCAATACAAGTCGATATCTCTCTTGACCGCCCTGGGCGCCGGATGCCATGGGCTTGATCTGTAGGCATTGCAGAATCGGTACGGGGTATTCGCGGGCAGCTTTGTCTTTGTCGGTAAAGATGGCCCTAAGTAGGCCGGTCAGCTCACGTTCTGGAAGTAGGTGAATGGAGGGAAACAGGAGTCACGCACTCGAGAGCTCCTGTGGAGATAGCATCGTTTGAGGCAGTCATTTTGAGACGGCAGTATTAAAAGCACTTATTAATAGGTGGACAATCACCGTATCCTAAGTAGCTTAGAATCAGTTGGGAGGTATTGACAAAATCAAGAAGGAACTGAAGAAAATATGGAGGGGTTCAATTTGGGAGGCAGGATTGAAGGAATATTCACGGCGCTGAAGAAGACGCGTTCACCGCGTTTAGTGGATTTCTGTACGCGCTGCGGGGTTGAGTCTTAGGTAAGCATTAAGCTCTACAGTGCTCGTGGCCCCTCCACTAGCTTCAGTTTCTCGTACCTACATACTTCGCAATAAGTAGTCGACCTTGAGAAAGTGCAAAAAGTACCTAAAATATTCCCAGAAGGATAAGGCGGCGCCTCTGACCAGATTGACTTGCTGTCGACGAGTGTAGACTAGGATTTAGATTATAGATGGAAGCAGTCTCATCTTGGTATTCATCAGTTGCATGTTACTCTATAGCGCCTGTGACCACTGGAGCAAGACCGGCGCACCCTAGGAGAGTACACCATTGGTTGGCAACACCAATCTTTGTTCAAACCGTTCAATACGGAACAGCAAAGTGCATTTCTAGATAGGTATGATAGCAAGTATTTGAACCCATGCACAATAGTAACGCTGAACCTTGCTGCACTACACTCTTTGCGAAATGCTAGGCATGCACTTGATAAACTTATTGGAGAGAGGGTTTGAAACCAAAATGATTTCCTCTTTCTCTTTTCTCTTGTGGCAAAGGATCATCAAGTAAATAATGTAACGATTTGGGGCTGATACGAGGGGAGAAATAGAGCACAGGTTTATCAGCACCCAGGCCGTTGAGTCACAAGTATTCATAGCACTCACTTAATAGTTTACGTTTCCGAGATGAATGCTCAATGTCAAGAGACTAGCAAACCAGAGTATGAGCAACCCAAAAAGCGAGATACTTGGATCCATGGCAGACTGAGATGGGCAAACCCGAACCCCTTAGATACCACTATGTTCTGCCAAGCTCACGAGATAGTGCAGACTATCTTACCCGAATTCTTTGCCTCCTCCATGTACTTGTGCGCCTCCTGAATCTCCTCCCAAGGCAGAACCTTGTCAACGATAATCTGCAGTTCCCCACTGACGAACTGTGGGTTGTACGTCTCCAGCCTGTCCCGCAGTTTGCCCTGGTACTCTTCATCCCGGCTCCTGAGCGTGCTGCCCGTGATCTGGATGCGCTTGTAAAGGATCTGAGAAATGTCGGCATCCTTGACCTTGCCTCCGCTCAGAGTCCCCAGGAGGACTATCCGAGCGTCCCGCGCAGACACATCCAAGTTGTACTGGAAGTAGTTCGCGCCGACGAAATCGACGATGAAGTCCACGCCCTTGCCGCCCGTCTTCTCCTTGATCTCGCTGGCCCAGTCCTGCGTCTTGTAGTTGAAAGCCGCCGTGGCGCCCAGCTTGGAGGTGATGAAGTCGCACTTCTCCTGTGACCCCGCTGTGGCATAGACGGCCGAGGCGCCGGCCGCGTGAGACAGCTGGATCCCGGCAATCGAGACGCCCGATGCGCCTGCGTGCCAGAGGATGGACTTTCCCTTGGTAAAGCCCAGGACAAAGTGCAATGCCTGGGTCGCCGTGATCCATGCCTCAGGGACGGCGGCAGCCTGCTGAAAGCTCAATTCCTTGGGCTTGTGGAGGAGCATCTTGCTGCTGACTGCAATGTACTCGGCATATGCGCCGCCATATGCAAGGCCGAAGACTTCATCGCCCTTCTTGAAGGGGCCGTGGTCACCCGGCCCGAAGGACTCGATTGTGCCGCTGAACTCGACACCCAAGGTAGCAGGCGCCTGAGGGGGTAGCCTACATCATAGCTTAGTTTAGATATCTAAGCAGTGCAACAGTCAGGGTAGAGGCGAAAGTACGGGTAGAAGCCGCGGCGTTGGATAATGTCCATGCGGTTGATGCCAAACGCCTTGATCTTTACAATTGCCTGGCCATCTCCTGCCGTGGGCTTTGGGAACTCGGTATTGATGAATAGAGCGTCAACCTCACCCTTGCCTCCTTTGATATCTTGAGAGGGGAAAAAGTTAGTGCTGCTGTAGGCTACAGCCCTTGAAAGGCAATCCAATGAGTTGTATTCATCTTACCAACTGCTTTCATCGTGGATGCCATTACGAGGGTTTTGTGCTGCCTTTCCTAGTGGAATGAATGTTTACGGAGGGATGAGGTAGATGTTGAGGTTGCAAACTGGATATTCCCGGGTTTGTCATGGCTACTCCTCACTTGAGGTCACCCACTTCAATAACGTCAACGTGAGTAAATAGCTGCATACTGAATTAGTAATCTGATTGCACGCATTTGGCGCAAGCTTATTTCCTCACATGTCAATCCAGAGAGATTTTGACGTTCTTGAAAAAAATTTCTAAGAATGAGTCGGAGAAAATGTAAAAGAGGACATGAAATGGCGAACTGGTAATTGCCTTTATGGTGTAATGGTGGGTGGTTCCTGCAGGGACTGTCCCTGCGAGAGGTCGCAGCTTCCCATTCTTGGTAGGGAACCAACAGTGCATCAGTGACAGTATGCGCTTCGTGTTCAATCAATAAACACGTTGGGAATTGAAGTATATAATGCACCAAGAGATGCAAGTTACAGTATGATGCGACAATGCATAGGAAGACAACCTTTTCCACACTGCCGTGTAGATGGGTCAAATTCTGGGCTCCGTGGGGACACAGCACATAGAATATCTGGAGAGAGAATCAGCTGGGGATGGGAAAGAAGAATGCGAAAGGGCACGAGTGGGGAGTGTTGATACCTATACAGATAAGCTCACGACCTTCCAGAGAGATTGACCCCCCCATCCACTGCTTGGTGGCTACGGAGCATTCTAAGCTTCTTTGAAGCTTGCTGCAGTACGATAACATTTCAACCTTATTATGTATTGAATTTGGCTCACCAGTGTGAAGACAGGTCCAGACAGCCTCATTCTCGAATCGATCTGCTCCCTGCGCTGAGTTCTTGCTCATAAACGACCTTATTATGCCAGAGGCACCGGTCCGCCCAGAGATATCCAGTCCAGAAGATGGTTCAAGGCCTCGGTCTTGGTGACAAATGCTGCAGGATCGATTTGCGAGGACGAGTCCTTGTAGCGGACATAGTTGCTCTAGCAAAATATGGAGCGCATCAGGAGGAAATGAGCCCTCAATAACTCAGCACACCCAAAGCGCGCCCGAAGAACCATTGAACTTGGAGACCGCCGTTCCAGGTCATTCTTCGCATGGGCTATGCCGCGCATGCAATTTACCGCATTTTGGAGTGGCGAGCCGGAATGCAATACACGCCTCGCACCCTGCTTTCCTCCCCTTGAAAGCATGATTTTGACACAGGCGGCAGGGAAGCTTTTGCGTCGAGGAGCTTCCAGGCTTGCTTGCTTCAAACGTTCCAGACGTGATTGGGCCGCCAAGGCTGCTCCGCGATCTGGCACTAGTCACAATCTATCGATCCATTAGTGGTGATAGACGTCAAGCCTTATCACATTCGCTCCGCCAGAATAGCAATAGCGACCATTACCGCGGTGGAGCATATAGCTCTTGTGGAAATTGCGCTTCTGCATTTGACAAGCGGGATGCTGAAGGGTGGCGACAGCGTTTGGGCCGGTAGACATCACCAGTGTCAATTGGCCGGAGCCACCTCATGGGAGTGGATTCATGGGGAATTAAGACATCTGATCCGGGAACCGAGATCAAAGCACGAGATTCTGCCCCTTTCCAGCGCTCGTTTGTCCAAAATGGGCATGCTGCGTTCTCGGAGCTGATGGCAAGGCTCAGTTGGCATGTCATTGGTGCTGCTGATCCTGTTCTCGATGGGTCCAACCGTCTACAGGCCCACGACGTGCCAAGAGCAATAAAAAGTCGGAGGCAAATCAGAGAGAGCCAGTTGAAATCAAAACAAGTTGATTGTTTTACAGGGATACGGCTCCCCGAGCTAGGCAAGCCACTGGTCATGTTGATTTGATTTGGCCCGGTTGGAGTGGGGGAACCGGCAGATGCCAGGCACACCAAGAACGTCCAGCCCATAAGCACGTTTCGCGACTCCAGGCAGACTGGAGGCATGAAAAACAATAGCCTTCCCTTTGCAGAGCATTCTGGGTACATACAATGGAAAGGAGCACTACATCATCTTACTGTATGCAGGTTTATTACTCGTGTTTTGCTGACCCAGCCCGGTCCGGCCAATAATCGAAGACACAGTCCGCTTTGATTATTGGCGATAATTGATTCAAGGTTATGAGCTGCATCATCACGCTAAAACAATTTTGCCGATGAAACCGGGCTGAGCAGGCAGGAGGAAGTTGGGCCAGCAATGGGCAGTAAAGGCAATAAGCTGCTGCCAAGGTCGAGATGCAAGTGCTTTGAGCAGAAGAGATACACCCTCCACACCACACAGACAACGAGCTCGCGTGCTACGTCAAACATAGCCCTCGCCACTAGCACTCCTGTATTGCTCCAGTCTGGTACCTGCATTAGTGGGAGGGAGCCCTTTTAGTACCCTTCCATTCCAATGCTTGCCCGATCCTATTCAGATGTAGTATTGCTCCGCGGTACAGCTGGTCTGGCCCAATAGGTGCTCAAGTGCCAGGAGCTTGCATTGGCGCCTGCGTATCCAACTTGGCCTAGCAGCTGTGGCCTGTGTCGATAGATTCTCAAGCCACCCGACGATGTAAGCGATTTCCGGGTCGGTTGGGATAATATGGCTTGTCTTAGCGGCCATGGAGTTGACCTACCAGCTGGCGAAGACCTGACAGAAGTACCTACCCAGTGAAGAGTAGCATCCACTGAGATACCAACGTGTTGTCACAGGTATAACGCACTATTCGGCGTCGGAGGTACTCCGCAGTGCTTCCAGAATCAATAGGTATTTTTGAGCATCTCCACCCTCGCCTTATCTCTAATATCCGTGGCTGTGGACAGTCACTCCGAGCTCAACCACGTGCCTTCGAGGATAACTCGAAACAGATAGATATTTCTATTGCTGTATGGGACCATGCCAGTGCATGTGTGTTTCCAGGCAATAATGATCAATAATAAATCCGAATTTTCTTGCGCTTGAGTTTGCAGAAAGCCACACCAACATCTGAGATCCTGGGAGCTGTACTATGGGCAGTAGCGTCAAGCCCCGTCAAGCCCCCTGAGCCATGGCGCCCTATTGGGGGGACAGCCTAATTCCTATTGGCCAACCCCTACCGGCGCCCATCCGTTTTGGCCGGGGGGCAGATCCACCGGCTCGTTCGATACGGTCAGTACCTGAGCTGTCGCCCTGACTTACACCCATCGTCCAGGTACCAGGTGCCTCCTCGCCCGTGGATGGCTTGGGATGGATGGCATGAGATAACCAGGAGAACGTCCATTATAAAGAAGCTCGCATCCAAGCCTCCCCGTGCCGCCGTCTCTTTCTTCCTTCACCACCCACTCTCGCTATCAATACAGTAATTCGACTTTCAGTCACATTCGCTCTTTAACACTACTACTACAACAACCCAGCTAATAACTAATTCGACTCCATCAAACACCAACACCGACAAAATGAAGTTCTCCGCTGCTGTTGTCCTGGCTGCTGCCTCCAGCGCTCTTGCTGCCTCCAACGTCACCGTCGTCACCCAGACTGTCCAGTCCCTCGTGACCTACTGTCCTTCCGCCACCACCATTGTCCAGAACAGCAAGACCTACACCGTTACCAAGGTAAGCACCTGACTGGCCAAAACACGTACCAAGGGAACATCCACACTAACATGACATCTAGGCCACCACCCTGACCATTCTCGACTGCCCTTGCACTGTCGTCAAGTAAGTTTGTTTCTCTTACGGGATCGAGGAAGATCTCATCACTCATAACTTTACAGGACCGTCCCCGCCTCCACTGTTCCTGTCATCTCCACCAGCGCTGCTGCCGTCAAGTACAACACCACCGTTCCCGGTGTTGCTCAGCCCACCGGTGCTACCTGGACCACCAAGGCCGGCTCCAACCCTACCGGCACTGGCAAGACCTCCGTCCCCACTGCCGCTGGTGCCAAGATGGGTCTCTCTGGACTCGCTGGTGCCGTCGGTCTCGCTGCCTTCCTTCTGTAAATCAACCAATAACTCTGAAACCACGTCTGAGAAGACCCTACGACGATTTCCTTTGTTATTGAATGATTTTGCGTGGGACCTTGACCACCCGGCTACTAGGGCCTGGTGAAAGGTTGTGGGAGAGCAAATGGTTGATTTATACTGAAGTCATTGAGAGACGAAATCAACAGGTGCATGTTGGATAGATCAATGTTTTTTATATCACGGATTCCGGTTTTATTTTCGAGACGATATTCTCTGACGACTCGCGGCGCCTTACGGGAATAAAGAAAAAGTCCCAGGTCAGCTTATACTTATGGGTGTTTATATTTTGCTTCGGAAGGGAGATGACGGCATGAAAATACGATGCCTGTCGGCTTGCAGTGTCAGATGCTGCATTTTTACCTTGTTTATATTCATACAGAACAAAAGGCATTATGATTCTTGGAACCAGGAGCACAGCTCTTCTCGAGGGGACATGTCTCGCCTTTCATCTTCTTGGGGCTCTCTCTTGGGGGCAACCGAACACTTTTTTTTTTTCGTTGGGCGTGTTTATGGTCTCCTGTCAAGAACTTTTCACAGTTCACATTGCTTGGATGAGCCCCTGTGTACATTAGCTCAGATGGCAAAGACAAGCATTGCTAGGATGCCAGTTTTGGTCCAGCACCCTTTTTTTGACCTTGAATTCTTCCCTTTGTAAAGAGCTCTGTTTGTCAGAAATGGCTTTATCTTAAAAACTTATCCCAATAGACAGATGTTTCGCAGTTAAAGTGTGATTTTGCCCATACCGGAGGAGTTATGCTTTGGGATGTGTTTTACATGGTGCACCTCCTTGAGACGAATCTCCATTTCACTACGTGCCAGTAATTACAATATCCAATCGACATCTGAGTAGACAGGTTTTTATCTTAAATAACTCAACAAATTATTGGGGCGAATGAAGGAAGAAAACGGGAAATAATACCTTGAGAGCTCCGTGGCGATTCTGGCAAGCCGCCGCTCCAACAATGCATTTTCCTCTGCATATGTCCTCGGGATTTAACCTTCAGCACCAGACACTGACCATCCAGGGCAGCTCAACACATACGCGTGACACGCTTAAACGAATCAACGTCCACATGAAAGCATACCGGGGGAAAGAGAGACAAAAAGGAAGTCATCCTTGGACGCTGCCCCGTACTGGAATCGAACCAGTGATCTTATCATTACTAGTGATACGCTTTACCACTGAGCCAACGGGGCTTTGTGATCCGAGGAGGATTGTTGCGACTGGCGTTGGGAATGCGCTGGAGTCGCTCATATGGTGCCAGGATACTAGGCAAGAATCATGAAATTGTTGAGCACGCCTTTCATCATAAGCAAATTCTCTCTCATGGAGCCTTCAAGAGGAGGGAATTAGTTTCTGCCAGGTAAAAGGTATCACCAACGGTATTGACAAGCAATCGAGTGTCGTTGCAAGTTGTATTAAAATGGCGGGATGTCTCTTAGCAAACAGTAACGCTTGCCCATGAGGTTTCTCAGACGCGCCATTGAGCGCAGCATAGTATAACTAAATGGTGCAACAAAAACAAGAGATATACGATCGAGATCCATCTGACGAGAATGGGACTGTACACCTAGGCCCAGCTCATTGAAATATTTGTTGCCGGGGTTGATCGAAACAACGAGGGTCCGATTGCAAGACGTGCAGGCGGCTGCTGACGTCTACGGCCTTATTTGTGTTAGTTCGGAGTGTAGAGAATAAGGAAATGCGGTCTGCGAAATATCGATAATAACTAGAATGCGAAATAAAATACCACGAGTAGGCAAGTATATTGTGCTACTGCCTCATGACCGCATAGTAGCAAAGCGAGTGTTGGTGGGCAGCTTACTGCAAGAACCAGCCCGGTTAGGAGATCTGGGAACGGCCCAAGTCTAATAGGCATTAATACTTAACCCCGGCATTCTTGATTGACCTACTGTATAGTTCCTAACATTTCTAGGCAGTAAACAGAAGCAGTGACAGTGACCGTAGCACCCTCACTATGCCGAAGGGAATACAAGCATATGTAGCTTCTTGCTCATCACATTGCGCGACCATCTTGTGGAGAGACTTTTTTCAAATGGAAAAGAGCAGGAGGAAAGGAAGGAAGGAAGGACAACACTTGACATGTATAGCTTAAGCTCGGGATTTCCTCTGTGGGGAGTTCACCCTCCCTGGCTTACCTTGTCTCATTGCGTCACAAGATTCCATGACTCCGAATGCCGCCCGTGCCAGTGCCTGACTTATAGCGGCTATGGCTGTGGATATGGATGTGGCCATGGCTTCAACGTTTGGCACACAGCCCTGGAGTGCATTGCCGAGGCGATTCGAGTGATCCTATACTCCTCCCACATTTGCCTGCCGGATCTGTCACTCCAGAAATTCTAGGCCCAGAGCGTCCCCTCCGTTTCCCCAGAGAGGGTGTCGAGGTGTTTCCTGGCATGTTTACCAGGCATGTGTTGATTGGTCCAATTATACACACCGGATTGTTGTTTTGAGGTCCGAGTTTCCCCCGCCCTGAGAATGGAATCCGCTCGGCATCTTACCAAGCCCAGCGAAAACCGCGCTCAGAGCATGCTTTGATTAATTGTGTTTTGATAGGCCTAGGAAGAAATTAGAGGGACTGGTCTGACTTAGTGTTGACGGCCAACTCACGTCCGGCGGCAAAGCTTACCGAAAGCGTCCGGCCGTCCGGATTAGCGGGGTGAGATGCTGGGGAGATGGAGATGGGAGATGTCTGCAAGGCGACCGGGGTCAGATCATACCCATCCCAACATGGAGAACTCCCAGAGGAGACCATGCAGGTATCATATCGCCACAGATGATACCCATGGCCTTCAAACTGGCCCCACCATGCCTCAGCTATCCATCCCTAACTACTAGCTGGAATAGACTATCTAGGCATAATGATAATAAGGCCCAACGCCATTGGGTCTTACTGCTCACGGTATGTAGCCTGTCGTGTCGGTAGCTTCCATTTACCGAGGATAGCCCCCTTGAATTGGAGGTTACCGACTGCAGGATTTAAATACACCAGATGCGTTCCTCCTGAACCAGAGGAACAGAGCAGAGCAAAGACCAAGACCAAGGGGCCGAGTGACTGGACACCGACAACGAGCTACAACCAGTATAACACCCCAGAGTCTTATCCATCTCTCTGCTCTCCTTCCGAAATACCACCAAAGACCAGCACCATGACCCAAGAGGATGAACACATCCAGGACGAGGTCCTGAGACACAGCCTAGAGGACCCGGAAGACTTCTGGGCACACCAAGCAGAGCATCTGTACTGGCACAAACACCCGTCGACAGTCCTTCGCCGGAGCCAACGGAAGTTGGCGAGCGGTGTCACTCACGACAACTGGGAGTGGTTCCCCGATGGCGAGATCTCTACATGCTTCAACTGCATTGACCGCCATGTTCTCGATGGCCATGGCCACGAGGTAGCCATCTACTATGACAGTCCCGTTACCAATACCAAAGACCAGTACACCTACCAGGAGCTCCTCGATGAGGTCAGAGTATTAGCTGGTGCCCTACGAGAAGGGGGTGTCAAGAAGGGCGATGTGGTCATGTTATATAGTGAGTTTCCCCACTACATACTCTACAGATCAGGATGCTCACATTCCCAGTGCCCATGATTCCTTCGGCCATCATCGGAACACTTGCCATCAACCGCATTGGCGCCATCCACTCCATAGTTTTTGGCGGCTTTGCCCCCAATGCCCTCGCTCAGCGTATAGACGCTTGCCGGCCCGTCGCTTTACTTACAGCTTCCTGTGGCATCGAGGGCAACAAGCCCCCTATTTCCTACCAACCTTTGGTGAGTCGATCTCTCTCGGAAGTAGGAAGTATCGAACGCTCCCATACTAACCCGCTTCTTAGGTTGAGGAGGCACTCAGCATCTCCGTACACAAGCCCAGAAGAACCATCATCTGGCAGCGTGACCAGCTACGATGGCACCCGGTCAACAAGGACGCCGGGCAGGCCACATGGCAGCAGATGATCAGAAGTGCCCGGGCAAGGAACATCAGGGCCGACTGCGTTCCAACCAAGAGCAACGAGACCATCTACATCATCCACACCTCGGGGACCACCGGCGCACCAAAAGGCGTGCTGAGGGACGCCGGCGGCCACGCCGTCGGACTGCACCTCTCCATCAGCTACCTCCTCAACATCCACGGGCCCGGCGATGTAACCTTCACAGCATCAGACATCGGCTGGATCGTCGGCCACTCGTACATCATCTACGCGCCTCTGCTCGCCGGCGCCGCCACCGTCGTCTACGAGGGCAAGCCGATCGGCACCCCCGACGCATCCGCCTTCTGGCGCATCGTCGAGGAATACAAGGTCAACTCCATGTTCACGGCGCCAACCGCCCTCCGGGCCATCAAGCGCGACGACCCGGACAACAAGTTCCTCGCCGAGGTTGGCAAGCGCGGTGGCCTGCGCACCCTGAAGGCCCTGTTCCTCGCTGGCGAGCGTTCAGAGCCGACCATCATCTCGATGTACCAGGAGCTCCTGGAGAAGTACGGAGCGCCGGATCCTCACGTAATCGACAACTGGTGGTCGACGGAGTCCGGGTCGCCCATCACAGCTCGGTCCTTGTCTCCTCACACCGGCAAGCACCGCAAGACAAACATACGGGAGCACTCCCCGCCGCTTCTCAAGCCCGGAAGCGCAGGAAAGGCCATGCCGGGCTTCGATATCCGCATCGTCGACGACGACGGCAAGGAACTCCCAAGGGGCGACATGGGCAACATTGTCCTCGGCCTACCGCTTCCCCCGACCAGTTTCCGAACCCTCTGGGAGGACGAGGAGAGATTCTGGCGCAGCTATCTGAAGAGATTTAATGGGAAATGGATGGATACCGGAGACGCTGGCTACATAGATGCGGACGGGTATGTCCATGTAATGGCAAGGAACGATGATGTCCTCAACGTCAGCGCACATCGACTGTCGAGTGGTAAGTCCTCTTGCCCTTTTCGCCTCTCTATCCCATCCAGAGAATTCCTTTTTCCCTCTTAGCGTAATAATCAGTGGCCTCAAAACTAACTTTCTATAGGTGGTATCGAGCAAGCTATTGCTGCTCACCCTCTGGTGGCCGAGGCATGTGTTGTACCCATTCCTGATGCTCTCAAGGGCCAACTCCCCTTTGCCTTCATCACATTATCCACCAGTGAGCACCCCACCGACGCCATCCCATCCGCCGAGATCTCAGCGGAGATCCAAAGCTTGGTGCGTCGCCAGGTGGGTGCTATTGCTTCCCTCGGTGGGATCATACAGGGCAAGGGCATGATCCCCAAGACTCGCTCGGGCAAGAGCCTCCGGAGGGTCCTGAAGGAGCTGGTGGAGAACGGAGTGCAGGGTGACTTTAGCAAGGAGGTGACGGTTCCCAGTACCGTAGAAGATGCTTCCGTGGTGGACGTGGCACGCGAGAAGATCAAGGAGTATTTCGCCCAGAAGGGCGATCGTCACGCCGAGGTGGATGGCATGATCAAGGCAAAGCTGTAGCTGTAGCGGGGAAGTAATGCCATGACGAAGTACATGATTAATAAAATCCAAGCAAGATTTCTGTCTCCTCATGACGACACGTTCCCGGTGAGAACTCATGCCGTGGCACCCAGTCGTCATTCCATGACAACGGCAGAACGGGGCTGCTCGACACGAAGCACCTCGCCAACACGGCGTACAAGTTCCTCTCTCCCCCTCTTTTTCTCATTGTGACACAAAAAGAGCCAGGCTCCGGATAGGTCCAGATGATAGTTTAATTATCGAGCAAACATAAATCCCACGGCCGGCTATCCCAGGTCTCAGCGGTGGGACGCACAAGGAATGGCCTCACCTGGTTCGCCGCGCCTAAACTTGAGCCAAACCCCGGCTATCCCCCCACACCCAAACAAACAAGAGGCCAAGGAAGATCTCGGCCAACCAGACTTCCGAGATAGCTTCTTTTCTCGGATGTGGCGCTGTGGTACGCAAACACGCCAGTTCCAAGGCTTATCGCTACACAAGCCCTAGTTGTCCTGAAGAAGGATGGGGCCCGTAGCGCGGGATCTGTTCCTGCTTCGGGGGAACTCACCGGCTATCTCGGGTTACCCAGAAGCTTCGGAGGAGGCGTAGGCATGGTTACGGACGAGCCATGGGCTGAGTGGCGGTGGCTTACCATGGCAAGTGTAATACAAGAAGTTGGATGGTGACCAAGGGAGGGAAGAGGGGCCGTGCAGTTGCATTTTCCGGGCCCGCAGCCCATCTTTGTATATCTCTCCCTTTCTAGTATTTGCAAGTTGGTCAGAATCGCGTCAGATCTTGCAGAGATCTGGGGGGCATGCATGAACTTTGCTCGCGGAGTGACGGTATCATATGGGCCCCGTGTTGCACGAGGCTTAACGAATGAATGGGATCTACCTTTCCAAACAGTGCGTCTTGGCTTCAGGTAACACGTTGTGTTCTTGGCCGGCTCGAACTAGAGCTCATGACGGTTGTGTACTCCACGGTCTGGGGTTCAACTCACTGTTGTACCACGCGTTCACCAGGCGGAGTGAATATATCAATGACGGAAAGGGCCACGACAATTTGAAGTTGGTGCCACTGCAGCTGTTTGCTTCAATGCCGCATCAGGTGAGCAATGGAATAATTCACCAAGGTCATGCTCAATCGGAATCCGTATCCAAGGCATATCTCCTCGGGTAAGCTTGCAGCCTTCGCAGGCACATAGACGTGGATGTCGAGCAGCATTCAAATATTGCAGACTCTATTGTTCCCCATTGCTTCAGTAAAAGACATCGCAAATTTCAAATTCTCTTACATGTTTCTCTTCTAATGGCGGTGGCACTATGCAAAAGTGTTCATACTCCCGCAAATCTATGCTGTCTAAAAAAAATGCAACACTCTAGCAAACATAGGGAATAGTTAAACCTTCATGACATCGGAAAATACGTAGCTATACAAACGTCCCTTGCGGGTTATGGTTCTAATTGTCGTTATCATTCTCAGTTCGTGCTGGTACAATCAGGAGCCTGGCCCTTGATGGGCCGTGAAAAGATGATGAACGCTGCCCTGAGCCTTTGGTGCAATCTTCATTGCCGTGAAGCGGGCCTCTGGCAGTCTCTTTCCAGCCTTGATACTCTCGAGGACCCTGTGAAAGTTAGATCAGCATCGAAGCATCATAAGCGAGGGCCGAAAACAAGCTCACCATTCGGGATCAACAAACTTGATACCGCACCCTCCAATTTTCTTAATCTCCTTTCCGAATTTCCCGCCGGCGAGGCCCCCGCCTCCCCTTGCAGGCTTCCCGATAATAACGTGCGTAACTCTGCGTCGTGCAACGTGCATTGACATCTGAGCACCGTTCTTGGTGAGCATCTGCTTCAGGGCGTGGTCAGATACCAGCGGGAATGTGCTCCCGTTCACAAACACGACCAACCCTTCGAAGATCGGTCGCTCTTTGCTCGTGGCTTCATTTGCCTCATCCTCCCTTTTTCTTGATTGCATGAGCGCCTCTTCTTGGGAAACACCCATGCCCTTGTTTGATGACTCCGTACATTGTGGCAGAGTGTCCTTCATCCTCCCGGGCTTGACCAGCATGTCGAGAACGCTGTTCGATGTCCTTTGGCGCAGAGCCGGGGGAATCAGTGCTTTCTTTTTCTCATCGTAGTGTTCTGACCCGGCGCCCCATGTATCGCTGAGGCGTTCCCCTCCAGTCCTGCTGGATTGATACTGGTTGTTGAGCTTCCTGCTGCGAGATTCTCTCCATCCCGTTCCCGGCGTGTTCTCTGGTCTCTGGTGGCCTGTCGACACAGAATTCCATGGGTCAAAGTGACTACCATGCACGGGCTTGGCTGCCGAGGCTCTTGACGGTACAGGCATCAAGCTGAACTGAATATATTGCTACCCTGAAGCTCTTGCCTTGATGCCTCCCGACAGCGCGATTCTGGTGATTGAAGTTCTGGTCAGGCTACAATCGTCTCCATGTCGTGAGCGCTGTTGGGCAGAGTCGTATGATGCCCACATGTCTTCCCAAAATAACTCAATTCCATTGTTCCTACAGCGACACTACGCGAACTTAGAGCTTACCCCACGCGCTTACCCTCAAGAATTCTGCCTTGATGACTCGTGCCATCGACATTCCCGACGCGAAGTCACGTGCTTTCGAGCCTCATCGTCAGATATTACCTACCCTACACCTGTGTATGGGTTCATATAATACGGACAAATGGACGAAGTAGGTACCCGTCAGCTGTATGCAGGTGCTACGGAATATCCAATTCTAATGGTGCGGAGTGCATGGTTTGAGACCTATTGATTTGGCATTGTCTTCGTAATGCAGCCGAATGTCCAACCGTTATCCTTCAATCAAGCTAGTAGGAGCATACATACATACACATGCCTCTCCTATGCAAAGGCAAGCAGAACCCTGCCTCATGTGCTTTAACTGTCCTATCCGCTCATACTACGACGCACAATGCCACGCATAGCCATCCAATGCTTCCATTGATCCTACCTAACCTACATACATACATCCACGTACATACATATTTACCACCTACCCACATACAGTAGCGCAGGCACAGGACATGCCAGATCGACATCTGCACACGGGCAGATGGATTTGGCCCACTGGACAATCGGCAATTATCGTACGGCTTCAGACACGTGTCGAGCAGCGCATTGATCGTTTTCGTGGCAATCTCAGATATGCGGCGGGCATCTCATGATCCGCCACCGTTGCTTCTGAGGGAGATTTACGGACTCTGGCCGCAGGAGGCGCCCATCGAGCCACGGGCGTCGCGCAATAAAGGCATTGACGGCGAAATTAGCTGATGATCATGAGGGGAGGAGGGTGCCGTAGACGGGGGGCCAGAGGGTGGTAGATGCGGCCCCCCCTCGTCCTACACCAAGGCGTCTCTTGAGCGTCTCAACAGCAGCGGAGAGCGAGCGATATACCTACGTTATGCCTTGGTCGTCGAACCGCCCACCAACGGAGAGCAAAGTACCGGCTACATCAGGTCAGGCGTGTCTCCGGGGTAGGTTACAGTTTGGTGGCTGCTCTGACCATGTCTGATGAGATCTGTATTATGCAAGGTAGCAATCAGACAACAGATCAAGTAAGGTCTGGCCTGACCGGTTTATGCCCCCCCCTGGAGGCTGAATGATTTTCACTTCCCTACTCCCAGGATCAGCAGAGGGATAAAAAAAAAAAAAAAAGGCAGTTAGTGTGCGAGATTTACCATTCGGCCGAAAACCGCGTCCAGCCTCCCTGTGGTGATCTGTGCGAAGGTACTGTACATACTTGCCCTCCTCCATGGCTGCGATGCGGAAGGTCGAGGCCATTGTGATTCTTAGGCTCCCCACCCCTTCCCAGCCTCCCGTGCCGCGCCGAGCCTTGTCAGCTTGGATGTCTTGCGTTGAATCTCTGCCAGAAGCCAGCTGAACCGCGTCACCCGGATCATTAATTCGGAGGATCGACTGCGATGCGAGCGTTGCATGTAGGTACCTTCCCCCAACGTCCCCAGTTCCCTATCCGTGCTCATCAGGGTGGTCTCTCAGCCCCAACGTAACCCTCATCCTTAATGTCATTGTTTTTTATTATCAAGTTTTATTTTCATTGTGATGTGACGCGTTCCTCCCCCAATCACACCCTGTCTGGTCTGATCAATAGCCTCCGTCACATCTGGACCCCATCGCGGAATGGACCGGGACTAAATTGTGTATGGAAAAATTGTTCAATACTGAACACCACGAGCCTTTCCTTGCCAATGAGGTGTTCACCCTTCGTCTCCGTCGTCTCACCCACATGGCCTGTCCAGGAACCCACAATCAGCTCTGATATTTCTCTCGATCCTGGCCCCTGGCCGCCGGCATGACGCTGCCTGCTCCTTCAAGGCTTGTGCGTGCAGCAGGCTCGTATGGTTGGCCGGTCGGTGGTGGCTGTCTTGAAACGCCACAACCACACTGTGCTCATCGTCCTGGACGGGGATAGGGTTGGAGGGGATGTGGATGTGAGAGTGGATGTGGATGCACCGGCAGTGACGGGCAGGACGACCGACTGGGAGCGTTTGTGCCACTCGTGTGCCTTTCGTACATATATTATGCGCAACATACACACCTTACATGTACATACATACATGCGGCGCACTCTCCTCTCGCCCAGAGGCGGAATGGCCATGTCCCAGCTCCCTTGGGACTCCGATCTGCGAGGGTGTTCCTGCTGGTGCTTATCTTGGCTCGAGTCCAATGTAACGAGAGAGCTCCCCATTGTTAATCATTCCCACCCCCGCGTCTGGCGACGCTGCGCAACGTCAACCCCCTGCCAACCCCGGGCCGGTCGCAGCGACGACGTACGGCTTTGGCTTGGGGCTGGAACCCTTGCATGTGTCCTGTGAATCTGGTTGTATGCATGTGCCTGCTGCTACCAAATCGCTCTTGCTGCGAGCCTGCTTCGAATGAGTTCGATCTGATTGACGTTGGCGTGTGAGCATCTGGTTCAAGGTGTATGTATGATGATCATTGATGGGCAAACAAAGGTATTCTTTTCGCCTCATCGATCACATTAGCACGGCCAGGCCTTTGATCGACCCCATCTCTCCCCCTCTTTCGACCACACATGCAAGGATATACCGCACCGTTCGAGCACACACCTCCACACACACACAATCTGTTTACTGTCTGCAACCGAGTCCTCTCCAACAATCCGTCGGCTACAAGACTGAAGGCTGAGATGCACGCCCTACTAACTCAAGAAGAGGGGCGGCTGGAGAAGAGGGAGGGGCAACTTTGCTGCCAGCATGTCATGATCACGAATCTCTAGGGACGGGACAAACCTTTTGTACATAGGTACACCTTTCTGCCTGTGAAGACTGATGAGATGTTATCAACCATAATCAAACACACCCCTTGTTTCCGGAGGCAAGCACACTGCCAGGTAGGTAGGTAGGAATGAAATTTACAGCGTGGTCTGCCTCAGGCCAATACCCAGTCGGCGTTAGAGGAGAAGGGTGTGCTGCCTCACGGGAAGGCTAATGTATATGCGGAGGATGGTGGGACGATGGATGCTCACCAGATCGTCACTCGACACATCCGTGCGCTATGTGCTGGCCTATGGCGACGGCCTGCCCTATGCACAGACCTGGACTGTGCTTGAGGTCCTGAAGAGAAGGATGACTGGTAGGTGGCATTGCTTTGCTTTACCCTGTCTGTCTTTGGCGGCAAGGGGAAAAATGGCCGGGGACTTGGTCAGCTTGTCGTGGGTAGCAAGACAATTTGATGATGTATGGGTCCGAAAATAGCCGTCGAGATCGTGCATACTCGGAATGTTACCACAGCGAACAGGTAACAAGTCGCATACATGGATTCGTCGTACCGGGCTCTCCAATTTGTTTACGTGATTATGGTCTCATTCCCAGCGACGGAAATATGTCACCTGGGGTTGCGATAATAGTCAATGGGCCGTAACACAAGATAGAAGAGAGAGAAAAAAAGCTTTCCAGCCAGGGTTTGTCCTTTGCTCCACCAGGTTGGCTTGCGTGAACAAGGGACCCTTGGGAAGCTCTCAACCCTGGGCTCCAGCCGCTGGCCAGGGGCAAAGTCAAAGCTCTGCGCATGATTCTTGGAGGTTAGGTTAGTTGATACGTGAATAGGTACAAGGAGATACTGCACGCGGAGATGACATGTACATGCGCAGATATATGTACAAATATGCCGAGCGCACATTACGCGCAGCGGTAATTATCCCCGCGCAGCTCTCCGCAAGAGCTTGTTCCATGAGAGATGAAGGTCAGCTTTCATCTGGCGATGTTGTTCATGGGGTGGCAGATGGGGGTGTGGTCTCAACAGGACCTCCAGACGACCTCTGGATAGGGAAATGGTTGGCGAGCATTGCTGGTGGAGCAGCAGACATGTGTTGGCTCAGAGAGGGTCATCCATCATCTGCCCATTTGTCACCGGGACGTAGATAGAACAATGGGAGCAAGGAGCAGAGTCCGGTCTTTCTTCTGGTCCTCTTTTCTCTGCCTTTCCTGCTTTGGAGGAGTGGCTACGGGCAAGCCTCATCCAAGTCCAGGCAAGTCAGACCTCAGTGTCTTGGGAGGTACCTTCTCTGGTATCGGTTGCAAGAGGCGGTGAAGGCGCCCGTTCGGCCGCTAAACCCCTTCCTGACCCCCACTGACACACCCTGAATGATTTTGGGTGCCGGGCTGGGTTAACGCTCAGGCCTCAGGCAGCCATACATCACCTGCCCAGGTACCGACATGTGGATGTACTTGGGTTGGTACCGCCTCTTTCGTCGTTCGTCCATTGTACAGGACCTGCCTGTCTCGCGCCGTCTGTGATAATTGATAGAACCAGTGACATTAACCCCCTGATATTCCGTACGTATAGCAGATACCCCCTTTCCACTACATCTGTCAGTCCACAGGTGATGACACCTGTTCAACTCCGCCGTAGACCTGACGCTGCTCGTGATGACCAACAAATCTCAGATCTCTGAGAGGGTCGCAGCAGAGCGCAGGGGCAAAGTGGATTTACCAGCCCGGCTGGTGGAGGGGGGCGGCCAACAGACATGGCAGGGAGGGTGTCGACGGGCGATGGTGTCGAGTTCAACGCGAGAGGACCAATGGCAGTGCCATGGGTAGCGGTGCCGGCGGCAGAGACACACTCTACCATCTCACAGCAGGCCATCGCACCAACGCCACGCAGTTGTTCAAAGCACGCCTACCCAGATGGGATATGAACACTCACGCACACATACGTCGGCAAGGACCTCACGCGCCCACATGCTTGCGACCCCTTGCGTTTGTGTTGGGCTCTGTCTCATGGAAGTCTAGCGTTTATACCACTGGCTTGCTCCATCTAAGCTCCGGCCCGCTGGCAACGTCTGCGTGAAGCCGCGTTCGGCCCCGATTCCTTGCTTCGAGAATTTGTGAAGATGCACAGAACATGTACTGCCAATGTTTTGTGGTTGGGTTGATGTGCCTACGGACTCCTTACGAGAGCTGATGTACCAAATGCAGCAGGCACACCACCACATTACCTCGAAGGGCTACGCTTGATTGCCCTTTCCACTTCCCCCCCAGCTGAAGAATTGATGGCTTTCATCATGGGACTCTTGGGGAACATGCTCCACCAACTCTTTCAACTTGGCGACCTCGCTTGGGAGAGCCAGAAATGAAGGGGGAAAAATTCAAAGGCCACGGGATGGAGAGGTGTCTAACAAACAAACGAGAATCAACACCCTCTCTACTCTACCACACACGTACCCACACATTATTGGCTCAAAGATTTTTTGATGCGAAGCCAACTCCCCTATCTACTCAACAATGGCAAGTCAGAGAGAACCATGCTAGTTCGAGGGGGTGGGATTGGAGCTTGGAAGGTGTGGTAGAGACGTGGTGAACGCTCATTGGACTCTGGCTTGGAGCCGACCTGGCTGACCACTGAGCTCAACCATGTGTACGTCCTCACCAGACTATTTGCGATCTGTAGTAGCCCAGACACAAACACCCCGGAAGTCTCTTATTCGATCCGACGACGGGAATTGTGCATCTAAACACCGTCCGTGCGCTCTCGCATCTGCTCTCAACGGAGGCTGGATTAGCATTAAGCACTGTGCGCACCACGCACTACGCTTGAGTGGCTGGTGCTTTGAAAGAATACGCCGCAAGGTCTGACTGTTGAGAGGGTCATTGGGAAAACCGACGCAAGCGATATGAGAAGGAGCTTGTACTCAGGAGTTGACACAATTCTGGGCTGGGTCATAGTTCCGTATCCTCTCATTTGACGTCCGAACAGCAATTTGCTGCTCATCTACCTTACATCAACGACAAATCAGAAGGGCCACTTTCACCGGGGTTTCGTTCGTACGAGAATCGGAGCTTCTCAAAGCCGGAGCTCGCTGATTGAGCAGAGCAACCCTTGCCCAGCATGAGAGTCCCCTCCCCGATTTCCTCCACCTTTGTGGAGTGGACACAGCAGATTTGGGGGTAAAGAGACAAGAACGGGGTGAGCAAGTTCCAATTGAACCAACCGGCAGGGGGGCCCTTGGTTGCCTAAGTGTGGACACTCAGCTGCATCCTTCATTGGCAGTATGTGTCTTTGGTGTACATAGCCGCCTGTGCATATCATGCAAGTGCTTGAGCCAACATGGCCTTAGTGCGTCCATCCCGTTCAGCAATCCCTGGTTATTTCTTAACACTTGCAGGGTATCGATTGGGGGGAAGAGACACAGGCGAGATACGGAACAGACGTTTATTGCATTCCCTCTCAAGAAAATGGCTGGAAACGAAAAACTGACTCAGTCGAAAGTGAAGGGGGTAGATGTTTGCGGGGTGGACGGATGGACTGTATGTATTGCCATCAATGCAAACTAACGGGTGAGCATCATTGTACATTGTCTTTGGTAAGTTGATGGAACTTTTTTTGGGCTCAGCATCTATCTCCCTTGCTAGCATGTGAAGCCCACGAGAACGAAATTGGCTCTCATTAAGCGGCGCCTTTAGCGCTTTCGCTCAGCCATTTGTCGTGGGTTGAGACATGTTGATGCTCCTGGTAATTTACAACTCACAGCTACTATGTGCTAATCGTCTGATTTTTCCTTTCTTTTTCGCACCGCCAAGCTGGTTAGCCCTTAAACAACTCAACAAACAGTTTGATAGTGGGTGGAGTCTACGCCACCATACTGAACCGTCATGTACGTATGACTTGCTCCACGCGAGGCAAAAGGGCGAAAAAGAAATATGACTTTTTTCCCTAGCACGGCAATAAATCCAAAGCCCTATGATAATCAATGCTTGGTGGACGTATCAAGTAATTAGTATAGCTCGTCTGAACAATCGGGCCACAATCGTCAGGGTCAGATGAGTGTGTGTCCGTTGCAACCTCACAACGTGAACGCTCTAGACTCTGGGTAGGTTCCTGAGCCGCCATTGGAGCTGGACAAGAAATGCAAAGAAAGTGAGGCGGACACCTCCTCAGTCACACTTCTTTGTCTGTTGTCCCGACCCAGCCCCGTTTTGGCAATCCCTAGGTGCATTATTTGTTGCTTCCGTTTCTGAGAAGCCCCTGATGATGATATCTAGCATCGTAGCTTTCACATCTGCCAGGTACTATCATCTAGGAAACCTAGCGCTGATAATCACGGAGCCGGGATTCTGTCGAATTTCTATGCATGCATGCATGACGAGTTGAGGCTCCCTGCCGTGCAGTCAAGCGTCTGCACGGCGGGTAGCCGGGGAGCCACCAGGTCGTCCCGAGCCGACGCTT